CCCCAAAACCCCAAAACCCCAAAACCCCAAAACCCCTGTATTTTGATTGATGGTTGAAATAATAATTCTAAAATGTCTTTTTACTCTCACCCTGAGATTATCAGATACTTCTACCGCATCAAGAGACTGGATAAGAAAGCAAGAGTAATGGCACTTGATGTTGGTAGAAAGTACATTGGATGAGCTATATCCTGCACAGAAATAAAAGAAGCAATTCCTTATAAAACTTATGAAATTGATCCCCAGTAAGGCCTCATAGATAACCTCTTAGATATAACCAATCGAATTATGATTTCGGAGCTCACACTGATTTCTACCAAATGTTGATGGAGGACATGAGGAGAAGAAAGATCAAGTCCCTCGTTGTAGGATACCCTCTTGATGAGAACAAGAATATTACCCCAATGTGCACTTTCATTGAAAATTTTTGTGATCATTTACTAAAAGAAAAGATCTTCCCATTCCCTCTTACACTAATCGACGAACACAGGACTACAAAGGAAGCTGCTCTGAAGATGTTAAAGCAGAACCAGAGCTCCCCATCCCGAATTGCTGCTGGAGGTATGAACGAGAAAGCCCAGCCATTTGGAAGTTATTTCAAGACTCAACTTTTGTACCAAAAATCTGTATTTGATGTGCTTGGTAAGACCCACCTATAACTTTCTAGCTGCACAGACCATATTGGAACGCTTCTTAGGGATGTACAACAAAGAGATAGAAAGCTATAAAACTATTAGAAATCAAGAGCTAGCTTAGTCAAATTTACCAATTTCTCCCCAATAACAATGCTAAATCTTAATAATCCCCAAAAATTTACAACCCACATCCTCTCTCTTCATCATCCTCCCTTAATATTGCTCTTCCTGAATTCTACCTACACTTAACACAATCAGACGCTCTATTCATGGTTCAAGCCAGGCTGCCTATGCCATGAACCATTCATGTCATAGCTCTAAAAGTCCCCTGCTTAAGCTTTGTTAATAAATCTTGGCGCTTCTTCACTCAGAATGAGAGGTTTAGAAAAGGGGGAGTTTCAATAGGCTGGTTTGGCAGTGGGGTTTTGGGGTTTTGGGGTTTTGGGGTTTTGGGG